CTAGGCCACCATTCTACTCCTTCTTGACTTAACTACAATTGCGCCCAAGCTTTCTGTTGCTAGCAAAACAGTTGTTAAGTGAGTTTTGCCCCATTTATGACCTTTCTTGCCACGGTTGTTAATCAAATCACTGCGGTTGTTAAGTGAATCCTGTGATTGTTAAGCAGATCTGGCTTCCCACATTGACTTTGCTTGTCAGAAGCCAACGGGGAAGGTTACAAAATCGTGATCCCATGACCCCGGGACACCGCAACTGTCATAAATGCATGCCAGTTGCCAAGTGCCCTGATTTTGAACGCATGACCCTGGGGAGACTGCCACAATTGTGTGAACAACAGTCATAAGTCACTTCCTTCAGTGATGTCGTAACTTTGAACGGTCACTAAAAGAATAGTTGTAAGTCTGGGACTAGTTCTATTCATTGATATTTGGTCAAGGTAGTGTTTGAATCTGTTCGTCCACCATCCAGGCCCTCACAGCTTCCAGACCCTGGAAAGAGATTTTAACAGCATCCTTCTGGTTTGGCCCCAAAACAATAGAGATAATCCTCGAGTTACAACAATTCATTTAGTGACCGTTCAAAGTTACAACGGCACTGAAAAAAAGGATTTATGACTGCTTTTCAGAGTTACAACCTTTGCAGCATCGCCATGGTCACGTGATCAAAACTGCAGGTGCTTGGCAACTGGTTTCATACTTACGACCGTTGCAGTGTGCCAGGGTCACGGGATCACCTTTTGGTGACCTTCTGATGAGCAATGTCAGTGGGGAATCCAGATTCACTTAACGAACAAGTTGCTAACTTATCAACGGCACTGATTCTCTTAACAACGGTGGCGAGAAATGTCGCAAAAAGGGGCAAAAGCTCACTTAACCACAGAAATTCTGGGCTCAATTGTGGTCGTAAGCCGAGGATTACCTGTAGATGTCTTCAGGTAGACATTCAAACAAAATGGGTGAGAGCATTAAGCCCTGGGACATCCCCCAAATTATGAGCTTTTGGCTCAATTTCTCCCACACTGCCCAATACCGTCTGCCTAAGAGAGAGAAGGAGGACCAGTGGAACAGAATACCTACTCCCATCCCATAATCTCCCTTACCTGGGAGAAAGCTGAGCTTTTATGCCACCCAATCACTTATTTCCAGGGTATTTGATCCTGAAGTGTCTAACCATGCAGTGCCTTCAGAATCTGCATCAGCAGAGAATAGCTTTGGAAAAACAATTCTTCAGGCTTAAACTGAAAATGATAGATGCTTTATTTATCCTTTATTTATTAATTTTTTATGCCCTATAAAGTGGCTCTTGACTGTTGTGACCTAGCCTCACTTAGTCATTACAAGACACAATTAGTCTCAAACAAAGCTATTTTATTATAACAGCTGAGAATTACTTCATTCCCAGCTTAGTCCAAATTAATTCCAAAACAAGTCCTTCAGAAAAAGGCCTTCGGGCTTATCACAAACCTTTATCTTCTTTGGCACCCTGCCAAAGGCCTTTCTTGGCAAAGCCCCACGAAGTTCAGAAACAAGAGATGCCGACTGGAAACAGAATTAACAACATTGCTTTCCTACAAAGAGCCCAAGAGCCTTTGCTGCTCTTTTAAGCCTTATGGGAGGGGCCAATCATCTCCTGGGCTTACTCCTGAGTCGTCCTTTTTGCTTTAGCTGTTCTTCCCTTCTGGCAGCTCTGCGCATGCGTGCACTAGGAACAGGCTCCTCCTGTTCCTCTGCCTCTCTGTTGTCCGACTCTGGAGGCTCCGGAGTCCGCACATCACTCCCAGATGTCCCTGGCCCCATCTCTGCCTCCAATGCAGAGCCCTCATCTGAGCTTTCCCCAGACTCCAGGACTGGCCCATGATCCTCCCCAGCCTCTTCGCTGTCCTATTCCGCTGCCAGCTCCGCAGGCTGCTGGCAAACCACAACACTGACATGCAAGAGCAGGGAAGCCTGTCACCATTTTTCTTTCCACACTGCATGATGCTCCATTATAAAAGATTGTTAAATATCATAGAGTGATATGTGCAATACTACACCCAATTCATTAGAAACGTAAGAGAGGCCTTCTGAATGCACATTCATGATTACATAATGAAGAAGCCAAAGGAAAGTGAAAAATCATCAGTGATTCTGTAGGCAAGCATTGGCAGTACATAAGCACAATAATGCAAGGCGCGCCATGCAAATTGAAAAAAAAAAATGAGTGATTCTGCTATGAAGTAGACGGAAACGTAAGAGCAAACATCTGCTCTTATGCAGAGCCTAAATTGTTCCAAACAGTATAATTTTCAGAATTTAAAGGAACTTGGCAATTGCAAGCAATAGCACTTATCAATATACTTTTTTAAAAAAAATCTGTCCAGCTTGTCATTTATTCAGCAGCATTCAAAATCCTAAGTCTTATGGCCATCAAAAATGCTGGTGTTGGGGGAAAAGGGGGGAGTTTGTTTATTGCTTTTTTAGAGGCAGCTGCTGCCCACTCGGAAACAGATGGTAGGAATGTTCTGAATAAATCTGATCATTTAGCCTTTTTTTAAAAAAAGGTAAACACATGGCTAAGCTTTGCATGCTATTACATGCATGCCACTGATCTAATGGGTTGCACATCCTATATTAATTTGCAGGGCTGTTGATGAGTGTCCATCTTTGAAAGCAGCTTTCAAGAAACGTCTTTTAGATGTGTTGAATTCCAGTTCTTATCACCTCGAGCTTTATAGATGCTGAGATTTTTTTTGCTGGTTTGTTTTTCGTTGTCCCACTCCCTCCACTTTATAAAATGATTTGCTACACGTCTTTTAAAAAGTCGTTTAAATCATTTGTGAATATTCTTAAAAGTTTTGATCAGCTTTAGGTAGCCTAAGCAAGACATTCGCTATAATTACAGCTAAAATTAACCTGTTCTATTTGCCATATAAACATCCTCAGCTTTCCTTTTTCCTATATTCATTACAGTTGTGAGTAAAGTTTTTACATCGTTTTAGTGCATGTCAGAATGATGTGGAAATCACAAGATTTCAAATAATACACTGACTAGATGAAAGCACAGTATGGTGGCTAACTGGAATTATTAGCTGGATTTTTAATATTTGCAATAATAATACTGTATTTGCATTTAGACCAAAATCAGTAGGTCAATAATGTAGTATATTTAGTGGGTCACTTTAAGAATGACACAGCCTTACTATATGTTAAGATGAATTTGTTTTTGACATGCTAATCCAGCCAACTGTAATTTATTATAGACACTGTTAAGCAAGCATACGTGTTTCTGGTTTAAATCTGCAATTAATCAAATATTGACCCTGTTAAGAAAACAAAATAACTTTCTTAACTCATGAACTTTGAAATTATGTTTGAGAGTACTGTAATGTTTGATAGCTTAGCAAGATAGGAGACTGGAAGAGTTGTGACTGAAACACAACTGTATACATCTTTTCAGTCTGTTTCAGAATTCAGTGTTCAGAATTTGTTTTAAGTAAAGTGGCCTACATAGGCCTGCCTATAAAATTCTGCCCCACATTTACTTAAGACAGTGTTTCTCAACCTTGGTAGCTTGACGAAGTGTGAATTTCAATTTCCAGAATTCCTAGCTGAGGGAATTGCCTGAGGAATTCTGAGAACTGAAGTCCACACACCATGAAGTGTTCAAGATTGAGGAGAACTAATTTAAAACCTTGACTTTCACTCTACTTTTACAAATGTACCATTGTGGATTCCTTATGCTTCCTCACTTAACTTGCAGATAATCCTTACCAAATAAAAATGAATGATTTCCATCTGGAGGATACAAAGCTGTCTGATGGTAGCTTCCTTAGAGACAACCATGTTCCACAGCTCACCTGTTAAAAGCTCTTTTTAACCTTCAAAACAAGGCCTGGCACAGACTTTCTCTACAAGACTGCTAGCACTAGTACTTAAAACTTACATTCCACCGCCCAGTACTTTACAGCTCTCTTTAAGCGGTTTATGGAGTCAGCCTATTGCCCCCAACACTCTGGGTCCTCATTTTATCGACCCTGGAAGGATGGAAGGCTGAGTCAACCTCAAGCCTCATCAGGATCAAACTCCAGGCTGTGGGCAGAGTTTGCCTGCAATACTGCATTCTAACCACTGTGCCACCACAGTTTCTGGGTGGCCAATAGTTAGCAGGAGTCTTAAAACATACAAGGATGCCTTTTAATACAGCCATGTTTTGTTAAAGCCCAAACCTTCACGGAAACCATTTTTGGGAATGAGCTATCAACTGTCCCCACACAAGAACAGTTCAACCCCCAACCATTTCTCACCATTTCAAATGTACCTACTGAACCAAGAATCTTGAGGGGTTCTCCACATATGTAGCACATCTCTTCTTTCTCTCCTGCTCCTCAGTTTACAAGAAGATGCTATTGGTTGACAAAAGTACCGAGATTCATATCTGTTGACAGTGACGAAGCAAATTAAAAGGAGCCAGGCTCGGAGCAGAATAAATGGGAAACCATGTTTTGCCAAGATATTAAAACACGATTCGGGTCTCTTCTTTTTAAAGAAAAAGTCAGAATCGAAGATCAAATCCCCAGTAACATTAAATGTAATCCCAGTAAGCATATTGCCTTGCCTGCACAAGGGAAAGGAACAGAACCCCAAAGCAGGGGTGAAATCCAGCAGTTCTGGAGAACTGGTAGCGGAAATTTTGAGCAGTTCGGAGAACCAGTAGCGGAAATTTTGAGTGGTTCGGAGAACTGGCAAATACCATCTCTAGCTAGCCCCAGAGTGGGGTGGGAGTGGAGATTTTGCAATATCCTTCCCCCAGGAGTGGAGGGAATGGGGATTTTGCAATATCCTTCCCCTGGAGTGGGGTGGGAATGGAGATTTTGCAGTATCCTTCCCCTGCCACATCCACCAAGCCACACCACGCCCACCAAGCCACACCCACAGAACCGATAGTAAAAAAATTTGGATTTCACCACTGCCTCAAAGGCAGAAAGCATAGCTATAAACATAATGCAGCCCAAAATCATGAATCTTTTGAGGAGACATTTTATTAAGATAAATCCAGCAAAATTCCTAACAGTGGGTATATTCAGTCAAACCTGTCCTTCTCTTTTTTAAAAGTTTTTTTTTTGTATTTCATTTAAAAACATGATTACATATTTTAATATTATTCTCCAAAATGTGACAAAATAAAACTACATTTGGGATACAACAAGTTTCCAGCTTCTTAAGATTTTTCATGAAAATATCTCACCTTCTTTATAAAAGCAAGTCACAGAACCACCGGAATGTCTGACGCAATTGTGGTTTTTTGTGTGTATTTTTGTTTTAGACCTCCCCACGTTAAGAAACCATACAACACGCAACAAGGGTAAAATTAAAATCTGAATTCCGTATGACTGACACACAAAGGGATTATATACTGATAGAAGTCAATAGCTACCACCACTGATTCTTTCCGGGTACCATACAAACTATGACAATCACAAAATTTTAAAAACAATGATTTTCTTTTTCTTTCTTTTTTCTTTTTGTTGGTTGGTTGGTTGGTTTTGAAGTCCAAGTAACCGAGATGAAGATGTTCCATGATTAAATTCATGCTAAAAAAACCTGCATTTATAAAATAGTTGATAAAAATATTCCTCTCTTAACAATACAGTATGGAGGTACGAATACCAAATGATGGAAATGAAGAGGGTTTATAATCTGTTACTCGGACTTGGCTTCCTTGACATCAGATACTTCAGCAGCTGGTGCCTGTTAGTATTTGAGAGAAACAGAAATTGAATTAGGCTAGGAAGAAAATCCATTGGAAAGGATACTGGGCGTAACCGTAGATCAGTCCCATACACAATGAATTCTGCAGAGTTTACCAACTTCCGTTCTTGCACACAGCAGCAGGAGGAGACTCCCCAGCTTTTGCTGATTAGCTAACTCAAGCGCCAAACTGTATTTTCCCCCCTAACTTTGAACTCTTATGGCACAATGCCCATCGGTCAATAAGGAAGCCATCTGAAAGCATGAGGTGGTATGGCTTCCATGTATGCCTACCCTGTCCCATATGCACAGAAGACGGCTGCTGAATTTAAAGAGGGGGAAAAAAATCCCAATAACAAAAAGGTCGTAAAATTGAGCACAACTGACTTAACAACTGTCTTGTTTTAGCAATGGAAAGTCTGGTCTCAATTGTGGTCATAAGTCAAGGACCACCTATATATAAGGGCTGGATACAAAGCGGGAATTGTTGAGAGCGGACTTTCCAGATTCCCTATGTATTTGAAAACGGTTCTCGGGATGGCGGGATAATACAGTACCTCGTTAGTTTTGGTATCTCCGTTCTCAGAGTGGTTTTCTTCTTTAGCATCTTCTTGCTTAGTTTCATCTTTTCCTTTGGCTCCTTTCTTCCCTTTTGTTGCTACCTTTTTGTCCTCTTTCTTATCATTTCCCCCTTTTTCTTTCTGTAGAGAGGGAATCACAAAGAGAGAGACAGTAAAACCTCACTTGCTCACCAATCCTTTTTCAGTGGCCAGCCTCAAAACATCATGGTCTAAAACTGGCACTCCTATATAAGATTAATATCTTTTATCTGTTGACGGTAGAGCAATACAGTTAGTCCTTGTTTTGTGACTGCCTTTTAGCAACCATTCAGAGTTACAACTGATGAAAAAGTAACTTTTTGACCAATCCTTGTATTTTTAATCTTTTCAGGACTGCTACTTTTCTACCTGTGCATTTTATCTTTAATTTTTAAAAATTCCAAAAAAAAGAGGCGGGGTATTGGCAATCTCATTCTAAGGTATAGATACTACTAAAAGATCATTGCCTCAAATAATAAAGTCTATATATGATTGAAGAAAACTTTTATCTGTGCTTTCAGAACAAAATTATCATATTTCGATGCCAGGCAGGGAGAACAAAAACTTGAGAGATCAGTGTTTATGTTAATGCTAATAAAATGTATCCAAATTTTAAAGAAGTTTTCTGTGCCAGGATTCCCAGATAATTTCTAAGAGACCCTGACTTATGCAGACGGGGCATATCTTTTCAATTGGATAAAGGTTTTATTTATTTTTCAATACAAAATAAAATAGATAAAATATTTAGTAACTCTTGGCCTGACTTGAACTCATTTCCGTTGTACATTGTAATCTAGGAAGAATGGTTATTTTGAAACATAGTCAATCTGAGTTTCTAGGATACGTTGTATACTGCAAGTAACAATCTGCACATGTACACCAATTTTAACCTAGAGAAAATGCCAACTACAAGACTTATTTCATATGAATTAGCTAGAACCTTTCTTTCTTTCTTTCTTTTTCTTTCTTAGTTCAATTTATATGCCGCCCTTCTCCGGAGACTCAGGGCGGCTTACAATGCATTAAGCAATAGCCTTCGTACTTTTGTATATACCTGCTTAGTAGGGCTTTCAGCCCCCCCCCAAGCGGTGTTCTTTTCTATACAAAGTCAGCTTATTGCCCCCACAATCCAGGTCCTCATTTTACCTACCTCGGAAGGATGGAAGGCTGAGTCAACCTTGAGTCTGGTGAGATTTGAACTTGCAGTAATTGCAGGCAGCTGGTGCTACTTAACAGCACTTTAGTCTGCTACGCCACCAAGGCTCTTTGTAAATTAATGTAACTTTCTCTCATTTCTTCCTCATTGCCCCACCACAAGAAAATGTTAAAGTGACATTTTCAAACTTTTATTTGCAATCCAGTATCTTCACTGAAGTTCTGGCCGAGTTCAAAATCATTACAAAATCCAAGTCAATATAGCACAGGGCTAAAATCAAGTGCCCTTCTAAATGCATTGGATTTAGAGCTCCCAATCCCAAAATAGGAAATTTGGTAACTTCTCCATAGTTTTCTCCCTTTAACAAATTCACAGGAAAATCATGAATATAACTGAATAACAGAGTTGGAAGGGATCTTGGGGGTCTTCCAGTCAATCCCTGCTCAAGCACGAGATTATTTCAATCAACTGGTTGTCCATTCTCTTCTTAAAAACCTCCAGTGATAGAGCATTCACAATTTCTGGAGGCAAGTTCTTCCACTGATTAATTGTTCTCACTGTCAGGAAATTTTTCCTTAGTTCTAGATTGGATCTCTTTCTGATAAGCTTCCATCTTTCCATTGTTGTCTTGACCCCATCTTCTTTGTGGTAGCCCCTTAGATACTGGAACACTGCTATCATGTCACCCTAGTCCTTTTCAATATAGGTTCCTTGTTCTCCTTTCGAGGTAACTCTTAAGAAAGTTAAACTGAAAGTGACTCAGTCAAGTTAGCAGTGACCTTTAAAGATAGTGAATTAAACTATCCTCCCACCCAATGAAGTTTCACAATTGAACCATTATGTATCATTCAATTACCCCCATCTTACTCAATAAATCTTCTTTTCTATGGCTTACGTGAATGACAATCTACAGTGTTTTCCTGAAAAGAAGACCTTCATGGATAATACGCCCTGCCCCCAAAACAAGCCCTACCTGAAAATAAGCCCTCCCCAAAAATATGTAACCGAATGCACAGCCGGAACCCCGCCATTTAGGGTTAGGGAGGCAGAGCTGGAAATAAGATTAAGACAGCAAGAAGATCCCTGTCTTGCTTCACACGCCCCAAAATAATAAGACCTCCCCAAAAATAAGGCCAAGCGCTTATTTTGGGGTTCAAAAAAATATAAGACAGGGTCTTATTTTCAGGGAAACACAGTACCATCTTCAGATATAATCTGATCACGGCAGAGATTTTACTTGGCTGCCACAGATAAGCGTACTAGAAAGTGCCTTGGAACCATATTTTGGGTTGCTAGGGATGTGTTCCCCTTCTAAAACTGTCTGTTACGGTGGACAGCAAAGCTGCTCAGGGGAAGGAACTTTCATTTAAAACTCCAGGGTACGTGTACCCTCTTTCACATCTGCACACCTCTAAGGTGTGTGGTTGTTCATCCATTTATTTATTTTTTTCCTTTTAGATACATCTCAGCTACTAGTTAGTTCCTTGGCCTAAAACAGTTCTCTCGAAGTAAACAACTGGCTAAATACAGCAAGGCTGGATTCTCACATCCATATAATCAAAAGCTACTAAATCCAACCTCTCCAAATATATTTCCCCCCACCCCCAGTAAAATTAGATGATAGATCATCATCATCTTCCTCATCATCACCTATATCATGTCATCAGTATACTTAAAAAAAAGAAAGAAAGAAATCAAGACTTCTTTAAGGGAATAAGAGTCCATTCTGACATCGGAGGGAATCCTCAAGTCAAGGCATTAGGACACACAAGCATGTAATTCATTTACCTTCGGCGGCGCCTTTTTCGGCTTTGGCTCTGGTTTGGGTGGAGCAGGCTTCTGTAAGAAAAGCACAAAGATACGTTGTTAAATAAACACAGCATTCTTGTTAGTTCAATTTGCTCAGACCTCTGTGGTCCCTTATAAAACGTCTGAATTTTCTGGTCTTTAGGATTACAATGGTAGCCTTAAAATAAAAATGGCAGCTATAATTTCATAAACCATTATTGACTCTGGAAACATTTATCCCAATGCAAGAGTTATTTTTATACAAGATTTCTGTTTTGGATCTGGATATTGCCTTTAGGTATTGTAAGCTACCCGAGATCATATATTTGAGATGAGCAGCTACTGAAATAATAATTCCCACCCCCCCTATTATGACTGAAGTAAAATATACATGTACAAAGAGAACAAGGTTCTAGATCAGTGTTTCTTAACCATGGCAGCTTCTTCTTTTTTAATTAATATTTTTATTGCGTTTTTACAGATAAACAAATATTACTCATCTTATGCAGAACTGCGAACATTTACATACCATAACATTCCAATTCAAATACACGCTATACATTTTTACTATACATTTAATTCTACTTCTGTTTTTCTGTTCTCAATCCAATTGTACCACTTCTCCCATATTGCGTAGTATTCCGAATCTATTTGTCCTTTCAGTTCAATTGTTAATTTATCCATTTCAGCACAGTCAAATACTTTTTTAATTATTAAACCTTTGGAAGGTATATTTGTATTTCTCCAACATTGCGCGAAAGCTAACTTTGCTGCGGTTATTATATTTAAAATGAAATTTATTATTCTTTTATCGTATTTCCTTTTAGCTATCCCTAGGAGAAATAGTTCCGGGGTATATTCTATGAAATAGTTCCGGGGTATATTCTATCCTGTTAGTTCCTGTAACCATCTATGTATTTTCTTCCAGTACTTCATTTCAGGGCACAACCACCATGTATGATAAAAGTTACCTTGTTTTTGACCACATTTCCAACAGTTCGGGCTTAAATTTGGATATATCTTTGCTAGCCTAGAAGGTGCCAAGTGCCAGCGACAGAACATTTTATATTGGTTCTCTTTGTATTTTGCCGATTTAGTTATCTTATAATTTCTATTTCAAATTTTCTCCCAATCCTCCAATTCTGCAGCTTCTACTTTTATGGTCTTCAATTCCCAGAATTATTAGCTGTGGCCATGCTGGCTCAGAATTCTGGGAGATGTGAAGTCCATCTATTTAGAAGCTGACAAGTTTGGAAAATACTCGAGATGTGGCTTATCACGGTGAAGCAATAGTGTCATGTATTTATTTAGAGTAAATATTATATTTAGACTTGGAAGTAATTCACAGGAGGCTACTTTGAGTGATACTTTGAAAGATCTATTGATTGTAACAGCTTTAATGTAATATGGATTTTTTAAAAAGAGTCGTACACTCACAGCAGACAGTCTAGCCGATCGTCTCTTTGGCTGCAGAAGAGAAAAACAAATTAATAAAACCAAACATCAGTTTTCTTAAAAGTAGAATTCACAGAAATTCAAAACAACATACCTCAGGCAACCATGCTCTTTGTCAGCACTAGAGTAAATGCTCTTCTCATTTAACACGAAAATCCCACTACATTCATTAAGACTTATTTTGAAAAAAAAAAAAATGCATCGGATACAGTTTTGCAAAAGTGAAATGTTATATTGAAGGAATGCCAAGACTATGTAGCTGGTTTGTAACTCTTACAGCCTAATAAACCATAGCTGACTGGAACAGAAACAAGCAATTATGTCTACATATTTTCTTCTCTTGGCACTTTTCTTCATACAATAAACTCTGCGGTCTCTTAAACTAGGATTGCCTTACAACCAAACTGGGATATTCTAGCTTATCTGGTGACTACTTATCAGGATGTAGAAGTTAGTATGGTTAGCTTTATTGCGTGTAAAAAAACCAAAAATGATACAGATGAATGACAATATTTGTTATCTGCCCAACTAAACACATTTTGTTGGATAGAGATGTGAGTATGCTACTTTGGTGTGGTAATGAAAGCACCAGGAGACCATGAGTTCTAGTCCCACTTTAGGCCAAAGCCAACAGGGTGGTTGTGGGAATCTTAACTGTGAAAAGGCAAGGGCCAACCACTTCCACAACTGTTGCCAAAAAAACTACAGGGAGCGTTCTGTGTAGTCGCCAGGAATCGAAAGTGATCTGAAGACAAACAAGAACAGAACTAACCATTTCCTGGGTTCAGTTTGTATCTTCATTCTCCCGATACTCCCGTGGAGTTCATTTTAGCTTTTGACTAACTGTAGCTCTCTGTGACATTGAAATCTGGTTCGAAAAAAGAATTGATCCCAAAGTCTAATGTCATCATCCTGGCCCTTTCTCTCACTACTCATAAACTTGAACAAGCTACAAACTTTTGACATTGGGGCAATAACAATTGAAATTGAAAGGTAGAAGTCTCTTCCTTCCAGGCCCACAGATGAAAAGGAGGAACGGAGCCCACAGTGGCTTGAGGTTGGCTGCAGCATGTTCTCCAAGCAGGAAAACTGGTTTCTTGTAACAAACTGAGGCAGAATCCTAAGCCACACTGTGGTTTGCAATCCGTGGCTCAAAGATTGATGTACTGAATGCAGCCAATTATGATTGATAGCATGACAATACTATGAAGAAACTATTTTGGGATGGAGGGGGAAACCCCGATGTTCTTACTCAGTGATTTTCTCTTTTAAGCAAGTCCAACTGCACAGATTTTTTTCATTGCATGTAAAAAGAATTCTGCCATAGATTTACTCGGCATATAAATTGTGTGTGCGCTGATCAGTTGCAAATTCTTGGCAAATCAATCTTCCCAACATCCTTGCCATGTAGATTTAAAATCCTACCACATGCTCCCATTGCGTGTCAATCCTTGTGGCACATGTTTTCCCAACTCCTTTGAAGACTCACTTCATCTCGACAACTGAATATATATATATATATATGTATGAAAAAACCTTACCTCCTCCTTTATTTCACCTTCAGCTGCAGCCTAGTTTAATAAAAAAAGAAACAAGCACAATATAAACCACTTACTTTTGTTCCAATTTTATAAAAAGAAATGGATGCCAAGAAAAACTGGCGGTGTATCTCATTGACTAAAATAAATGGCCTAGTAAACATGAGACAGTAGACATTTTTAACATAAAAGGTGAGAAAAAGCTTTATTGGGATCCATCCATCAAAACTGACAAATGAAGGCAATTGTATCTTGCATCAATCAAAACCCTCAAAAAAACCCGCAAATGATAAAAAAAATAACTGAGCGAGCAACTAGAGTTACACATACAGCAGTGCAAGAAAACTCCAAGAACTGACCAATTTATCAATCAATTCCACATCAAGCCTTCTAACTCTTCCTGTTGTGTTTCAGTAAAAAAATAAAATAAAAAAAATAAAATCCCAATCAAATATAGCGCAGGCTGCGTTTTTTTTAAAAAAAATTAGAAACGGATCAGATTCTTCTGCCAAAAGCTGCAATTTTTAACAGTCCCGCAGGCTTCTCTCTCTTTTTTTTTTTTACATTGTTTGAACACTCTTCCAAACTCCCCGGACTACACATCCCACAATGCTTCTCGGGGCGGTCCGTTTTGCTTGACGTCATCGCGTCCCAACTTTAAAAAACGGGAGGCAGCCAAAAAAAAAAAAAAATCCCGCCAAATTACCTGCAAGAACAAGGTCGTTTGCAAACGACCTGCAAAGGGCGTGGAGCCTTTTTAAACGCATCTCTCGCTTTAGCCCCCACCCCCACCCCACCCGGGAAGGCGGGGACATAAAGCGAGTCGGGGCTCCTCTGCTTTGCCCTACAAACTCTCTTGCACACAAGCCGACATCACCCCATTTTTTATGGCATGCTTTCCCCTCCCCCTCCCCCCTGCTCCTTATATAGCTGCACTTTCCAAACGGGAAAACCTCCCCTCCCCCCCCTCCCATGGGTAAATCTCAAGGATCGGATTTGCAAAAGAATAAAACAATAAATTAAAAAAAAGAGGAGCGGGGGGGAGGCGAGAGAGAGAGAGAGAGACGCCTGCTTGTTTAAAGTTGCACCGAATTGGGGCTTCGGAAATCTCTTGCCACATCTCAAAGCCCCCCCCCCCCAAATATGGCAAAGCTCTGCGCCCCCTACCGGCTCCGAGTCGCCACTGCACCACCATCTGGTATGACAAGTAGGAGGAAGGGCCGGGAGAACGAAGGAAAGATGGGGGGGGGAGAGGAAGGAGCGAGCGAGCGAGCGCTTGGGAGCGAGGGCGGGCGCTTGGCAGCCGCGATCGGCAATCCCCGCCGAAAAGCTGCTGAGCCGAGTGGAGTTTGGCTTTTGGGGGGGGGGGTTTTTGTTTGCTGAACGGAGCCTGGCTCGGTGCGGGGCCATGCTGGGTGGAAAAAAAAAAAAAAAAAGCAAAGGGAAAGCCGGGGGGGCCCCAGAGCCCCCCCGGGGGGGGGGGGGGGGGAGAAAAAAAGCCTCCGATGGCTTCAAGACAAGCCCCGGAGGCTCGGCAGGGGGCTTTGCATTTTGGAGGAGAGAGAAGAGAGGAGGAGGAAGAGGAGGTGGGGCGCCTGCGGTCAGCAAGCGGCACTATGGCTGTTTGCAATCCAGCATGGAGACGCACCGAGCCAGGCTCCGTTCTGCAAACAAAAAACACCCCCCACAAAAGCCAAACTCCACTCGGCTCAGCAGCTTTTCGGCGGGGATTGCCGATCGCGGCTGCCAAGCGCCCGCCCTCGCTCCCAAGCGCTCGCTCGCTCGCTTGCACGGGAAAAAAAGCTTTCCACGAAACCCCCGCGCACACACACACACACACACACACAAAAACACACACCGAGCACACGGGCGCGCGCGCGCAAGTCAAAGCCATCTTTCTCTCTCCCCCCCCTCTCTCTTTTCTCCCCGCGCAAAAAGGGGCTTTCGCGCGTCTTTCCCGTCCTCGGTCCGTTGCAGCCCCCCTACCCACCCACCCTTCCAGCACCACCACCACCACCACGTTCGCTTGCTTACCTTTCTTTTGGGCATAGTTGATCCTTTTGAAAGTGTTGGTTGCAGATCAGAACGAGATGCGGATCTTTGCAAAGGGGGAGGAGGGAAAAGGCGGTCGCCCTCCCCTCGAAACAAATGCAAAAGATGAAGGTGGGGGGGGGAGAGAAAAAAAAAGGGGGGGAGAATCAAAGCACCGCGCGCAAAACAAAACCCGCTTTTTTTTTTTTTTGAGAAAAAAAAGGCCTGATTTTTTTTGGTTGGTTGGTTAGGTTGGTTTTTTTTTTTTTTAAAAAACAAACAAACAAAAACAAAAAAAGTCTCTTTCTTTGCAAAACTGTATCAAAACACCACGAGCGAATGGCAGCGGCGGCGGCGGCAGCAGCAGCAAAAACAAAACACACACACACACACACACACGAAAAAAAAAAAAACCCACCCTGAACCTTTTCTTTTCTTTTTTTTAAATTTAAAAAAAAAAATCCCCCCCTTCTTTATTGCAAACAGTAAAATACACCAACACTCAACCAAACTGCATGAATGGGAAGCGCGAGGAAAGTCCTGGGCCGAGAATGACGCGCGCCTGAACCAATAGAAAGCTCGGGCCGGACCTGACCAAAGGCGCCGATTGGTAGGATTCGGACGGGAGGCGGAGCCAGGCTTCTTAGCGCGAGAGAGGCGCTCGCGCGCGTCGCCCAGTGCTTTTTTTTTTGCCGTCTGCGCAGGCGAGCGGCCCTTAAAAAGCGCTTCCTGAAACACCCCCCCTCTTTTTTTTCTCCCCCTCCCTCCAACTGGGCGAAATGGCCCAGGGACTCCAGGGCCAGCCCCCCTCCTTTTATGCCCCCTCCTTTCCCCTGCGCCCCCTCCCCTTTCTTGCAAGCTTGCACGACCCTCGTCGTCTCTCCTTGGCGCCCAGCCCCTTGGGGCAAAGGAAAGGAAACCCCCTCCTCCTTCCCTCCCCGTGCAAATCTGCGCCTCTTTGCAGCGCCCCCTCTCCCTTTGCAAAGAGGCCCAGAGTTGCCCCCTCTTCCCCCGAGGAAAGGGGGCTCGTGCAAAGCCCTCGGGCGGCGTGCAACACGGGCGAGCTCGCTTTCCCTTTGCACGGGCTGCAACATGGCTGCCCTGGCGCCTTCTCTTGGCGAAGGCAGTGGCTGCGGAGGAGGAGGAGGAGGAGGAAGAAGGGTGCAGATGGGGGAGGGGTGCTAAGAGTGCAACACCCCCCCAGGGGGGAGGGGGAGGCTAGCCCGATGGGTCTGCATGGAAGGATCGCCCCCCCCTTCTCCTCCTCCTCCCCGAGCAGATTGCAAAGGGTGGCAAGCCTGCAAAGGGGACACTTTCCTCGCAGCGGTGGGTTGCTTTTGCAAGAGAGTGGACGAGCGTGCATTTGCTAGGCCGGAGACCCGGGGCTGCGCCGCCTGCTTGCTTCCTTCCTCCCCCCCCCCCAACGAATGAAAGAATTTGGGAACCCTGCAATTCCTTAGGATGGATTATTCCTGACTTTGACGGCTCCGTCGCTCTTCTTTCCAAAAAAGATTCCAGAGGGGTTTTCAAAGGAAACAATGGAAAGTTTTAAATAAAATCCACATCGTCCCCTTTTCTACTTAAAAGCGCTCGAAGGGGCTGTAATACTGTAACCTGCCTTGTCTGAAGCGATGCTCTATGCACGCGCCTCTTAATTCAATAGGCAACATTTGTTAGGCTCCTAACCGCTTTGTGGATTGGGATTTGGTTCCCACCTTGGATATTTGCAGGCTTCCCGTTCAACGAGAGCTGTTTCCCCCTTAGAGAACTGTCAGCTAATAGGCCTAGATTAACACTGTTGTTTCGAAATTGTCACTTTTTAGGCACCTTTCATGTCTATTCTAGGTAGATCTGATTAGGACCTCAATGCCAGACTATTAACTACTAAGACTATTACTATTCTTCTTCTCATCCTTCCTAGTACCTATCTCTTCCTGCTTATGGCTATATCCACGTTGCTTGTATCTTTACAATTTATGTTGTTTTTATTTGTTTCCTAGTATGATTTGATTGCTTATTAGTATCCTATGACTATCACTAAGTGTTGTATTTTATGATTCTTGACAAATATATTTTATTTTTTTCTTTATGTACACTAAGACCGTATGCACAAAAGACAAATTCCTTGTGTGTCCAATCACACTTGGCCAATAAAGAATTCTATTCTATAAAAAATAAAATAAAAAGAGTTACAGATACCCACTTTGCAGACTTTCCATTGGAAACATTGTATCTGAATTTACTTAGAATTGCTTTTTTCCTCCTCCTGAAGATGATTATTTTTTCCTTCCAGCAGTTTAAAAAAATATGTTTTTCCTTGTTTGGGAAAGTTTTTTTTTTTCCTCGTTTGGGAAAGAAAATATTTTTTTTCCTCGTTTGGGAAATGTTTTCTTGCTTGGGAGAGAATTTTTTTCCCCCTTTGGGAAAGAAAATGGTTTATGGTTTAATTCTGATTTGCTTTGAGTTTTGATAAATAGACTTGAAAATATGAAGGTACAGCTAGTAAATTCCTCACTTTTATGGAAACAGCTTAAAAAAGGTACAAGGCTAGAGTTTCTTATTAAGGGTGAAAAGTATGAGCAGCAAACCTGTGCAATAGCTGCTGTCTATAGTAGAAATTTAAGAGCAGTGGCTCGTTTTAAGAAGCAAATCTGGCACTTTTCTGCTGGTGGTCTTTCCCTACATTCTATTCACTGGTAGTTCAAGGAATAAAGTTTTATGGGCTGTAGATGCCGTGCTTTGTCAAATCTCTACGTCTTCATTTTACGGCAGGCAAAAGTGTAAAAAGCCATCTTTTGCAGACACCAGAACTGTGGGCACTACTCAGCCAACAACTCTTATTTTAGTTGGTTGGGGATGCTTTATAGTTTAAGTGAATGGTGCCAATCCAGAAAATTGAGCTAATTGATAGGAAAAATGATTTCTCTACCCCAGGAAATGTAGACCTTTATGCTTTACCTCTATAGCAGGGGTCCCCAACCTTGGCAACTATAGAATAGAATAGAATAACAGAGTTGGAAGGGACCTTGGAAGTCTTCTAGTCCAACCCCCTGCTTAGGCAGGAAACTCTACACCAGTTCAGACAAATGGTTATCCAATCTCTTCTTAAAAACTTCCAGTGTTGGAGATTTCACAACTTCTGGAGGCAAGTTGTTCCACGGATTAATTGTTCTAACTGTCAGGAAATTTCTCCTTAGTTCTAGGTTGCTTCTCTCCTTGATTAGTTTCCACCTATTGCTTTTTAATCCTGCCTTCTGGTGCTTTGGAGAATAGCTTGACTCCCTCTTCTTTGGGGCAGCCCCTGAGATATTGGAATATTGCTATCATGTCACCCCTAGTCCTTCTTTTCACTAGACTAAACATACCCAATTCCTGCAATCGTTCTTCATATGTCTTAGCCTCCAGTCCCCTAATCATCTTAGTTGCTCTTCTCTTCATTCTTTCTAGAGTCTCCACATCTTTTTTACATCGTGGCGACCAAAACTGAATGCAGTATTCCAAGTGTGGCCTTATCAAGGCCTTATAAAGTGGTATCAACACTTCACGTGATCTTGATTCTATGCCTTCTAGCTTTGCTGACTGAGGAATTCTGGGGGTTGAAGTCCACAAGTCCTAACGTTGCCACGGTTGGGGACCGCTGCTCTACAGAGAAGGGCACTTAAATCTGAGATTTGTGTGTCTCCAGTTGGGCATCCAATTGACTTCAGCTGGATTTAAATTGCAGGAATTGCTATTTTTCTTAAAGTGTCTTTCCTTTCTGAGGAAAGGTCAACAGAAATACAGCTATAAAATAATAGGAACTTAATTGTTGGAAGAGAAAAGAAAACACCTCTTTCCTCTGATGACAATCGCTGATCTTTCATTCAGAAGGCCAAGTGGCAACTGATCCGTCAAACCTGTCTGGTCTACTTCTCCAGCTCTCACCGTTTCTTCATGTCAAGCAGGTCAAAAGTGAACAGAACACACCTAAGGGCAGATACCTTCCATTCCCATGTTCACCGGATCTTGAATGAAAGCAAGAGTGGACAAACCGGCAAAGAAACTATAGTGGATGATTTGGCCAGGTGAAATCCTGTTGCACCCAAGGTAGATGGGCTGGGCCATTGTAGGAAAAGAGATCTGGAGATGAGGTCTTTTTGTAGCTGGAACAAAATGGGTGGAACACCGTGTCTCTTCTTTGGTTTTGGCATAGGCTGCTACAGAAAGTTAACTGGTACGTTTTGAAAACCAGGTTTAACAGCCGTGTAAATCCAGCCTTTCCGACTTATAAACTTTAGTTTTATTTATTTATTTATTGGTTGGATTTATATGCCGCCCTTCTCCGGAGACTCAGGGCGGCTTACAATGCGTTAAGCAATAGCCTTCATACTTTTGTATATACCTGCTTAGTAGGGCTTTCGGGCCCCCCAAGCGGTGTTCTTTTTTATACAAAGTCAGCTTATTGCCCCCACAATCCGAGTCCTCATTTTACCTACCTCGAAAGGATGGAAGGCTGAGTCAACCTTGAGCCTGGTGAGTTTTGAACTCGCAGTAATTGCAGGCAGCTGGTGCTACTTAACAGCACTTTAGTCTGCTGCACCACCAAGGCTCTTTGAGGGATCCTTGTTGCTCTCTGAGCTTGGTTGTTTTCTTGAAGATGTTTCTTTACTCAAACTAGTAAAGAATGGGGCTTACTATTGATGATGTTACCTAATTTGGGTAATGAAATGTCTGCAAGAAAACAACCAAGCTCAGAGACCAGCAAGGACCCCTTCATTTCAACCCTTAGCTGAAAATATTCTCCTTTATTGAAACTTTAGTTTATTGCTTAATGCATGGAATGCCAACAAGGCACTTGGCATCACCTCTCTTGCCTTCCCTGATTTTCATTTTGTTTGATTAAAAATGAGATAAGGACGTGTTACTATTAAGCAGAGCACCTCAGTCTCACATAGTATAGTACTTTTATTCTCAAGGACACTTCTGGGTTCCATGTAAACCCCACAGAACATCCTGGAAAGTAAATTTTCTATGTAGTGGTAACCTAGAATTTTGGGAAGTATTTGCCTCTATCAAGAAAAGGCAAAGGGAGATTATGACTAGCATTATATGGTACCTTGCTCAATAGTAGTAATTGTGAGAGGGATCTTGGAGTCCCAGTGGACAACCATTTAAATATGAGCCAGCCGTGTGCTGCAGCTGCCAAAAAAGCCAACACAGTTCTAGGCTGCATAAACAGGGATAGAATCAAGATCACGTGAAGTGTTAATATCACTTTATAATGCCTTGGGAAGGCCACACTTGGAATATTGCATCCAGTTTTTGTTGCCACAATGTAAAAAAGATGTTGAGACTCTAGAAAGAGTGCAGGGAAGAGCAACAAAGATGATTAGAAGACTGGAGGCTAAAACATATGAAGAATGGTTGCAGGAACTGGGTATGTCTAGTTTAATGAGAAGAAGGACCAGGGGAGACGTGATAGCAGTGTTCCAGTATCTCAGGGGCTGCCCCAAAGAAGAGGGAGTCAAGCTATTCTCCAAAGCACCTGAGGGCAGGACAAGGAGCAATGAGCGGAAACTAATCAAGGAGAGAAGCAACTTAGGAGAAATTTCCTGACAGTGAGAACAATGAATCAGTGGAACA